GATGCGACATACAGGCTGATTTTGCAAAACTACCCTTATTGGGATTGACATCGAAAAACTGGAAAATCGAAAAACCGAGAAATCGAAAAATCAATCGTGGAGTCGAGAAGTCGAACAATTGAGAAACCTAAATAGGCCAAAATCGAAAAATTAAAAATTGAACAATTTATAAATTGAGAAATTGACAATCAAAACATCGAAAAATCCAAATCTGGATAAATCGAGAAATCAAAAAACTTAAAAATTCGAAAAATTGAAAAATTGAGAGATTGAAAGATCACAAGAACGAGAAATCGAAAAGTGATGAAGTAGAAAAATCGAAAAATAGAGAAATCGACAAACAAAAAGTTAAAAGTTGAAAAATTGGAAAAGCGGAAAAATCAAAAAACGAAAAAATGGAAAACTGGAAAAACTGAGAAACCGAAATAGGCAAAAATAAAAAATTGAAAAACTGATAAATCGAAAACCTGAACAATCAAACCACGAAGTCGAAAAATCGAAAGATTAAGAAATATTTAAAAATTAAAATATCAAAAGACAGAAAAATCTAAAATTGAAAAATCCAAAAATTGAAAAATGGGAAAAGTAAAAAGGTACACACATCAAAAACTCCAGAAGTCAAAAATAGAAGAGAAGAATTGAAATATTGAAAAATCCTAAAACTGAAATATCTAAAAACTGAAAAATCAGAAACCTGGAAAATCGAAATATTAAAGAATTGAAGAACAGGAAAATAGAAACTCTCGAAGGTCAAGAAACGGGAAAATGAAAACATCGATTAATTGAAAAATCGAAAAATTGAGAGTTTATAAAAGTCAAATTTGATAAATTAAAAAATCGAGAACCTTACAAAATGACAATTGAAGGACAGAAAATCTAAAACCGGGAAGTCGAAAAATCGACACATCGAAAACTCCAGAAGCCAAAAATCCAAAAATTCGCAGAATCGAACTATTGAAAAATCCCAAAACCGAAATATCGAAAAACCGAGAAATAGAAAAATCAAAAAATCAAGAAATCGTGGAGTCGAAAAGTTAAAAATTGAGCAATTTATAAATTGAGAAATTGACAATTAAAATATCGAAAAATCCAAATCTCGATAAATCGAGAAATCAAAAAACTTAAAACTTCGAAACATTAAAAAATTGAGAGATTGAAAGATCAAAAGAACGAGAAATCGAAAAGTGATGAAGTCGTAAAATCGAAAAATAGAGAAATCGAAAAACAAAATGTTAAAAGTTGAAAAATTGGAAAAGCGGAAAAATTAAAAAACGAAAAATATTGGAAAACTGGAAAAACTTATAAATCGAAAACCTGAACAATCAACTCTCGATAAATCGGGAATGAAAAATTAACAAATCGAAGAATTGAAAAACAGAACATCTAAAACCAGGAAGTCGAAAAATCGAAAGATTAAGAAATATTTAAAAATTAAAATATCAAAAGACTGAAAAATCTAAAATTTAAAAAATCCAAAAATTGAAAAATGGAAAAAGTAAAAAGGTACACACATCGAAAGATCCAGAAGTCAAAAATAGAAGAGAAGAATTGAAATATTGAAAAATCCTAAAACTGAAATATTTAAAAACTGAAAAATCGAAAAATCAAAAAAGTGAAGCCGAAAAACTGAAAAATCAAAAAATTAAAGAATTGAAGAACAGGAAAATCGAAACTTTCGAAGGTCAAGAAATGGGAAAATCAAAACATCGATTAATTGAAAAATAAAAAAATTGAGAGTTTATAAAAGTCAAATTTGATAAATTAAAAATCGAAAACCTTACAAAATGACAACTGAAAAACAGAAAATCTAAAACCGGGAAGTCGGAAAATCGACACATCGAAAACTCCAGAAGCCAAAAATCCAAAAATTCGCAGAATTGAAATATTGAAAAATCCCAAAACTGAAATATCGAAAAACCGAGAAATCGAAAAATCAAAAGATCAAGAAATCGTGGAGTCGAAAAGTTAAAAATTGAACAATTTATAAATTGAGAAATTGACAATTAAAATATCGAAAAATCCAAATCTCGATAAATCGAAAAATCAAAAAACTTAAAACTTCGAAACATTAAAAAGTTGAGAGATTGAAAGATCAAAAGAACGAGAAATCGAAAAGTGATGAAGTCGTAAAATCGAAAAACAAAATGTTAAAAGTTGAAAAATTGGAAAAGCGGAAAAATCAAAAAACGAAAAATATTGGAAAACTGGAAAAACTTATAAATCGAAAACCTGAACAATCAAATCTCGATAAATCGGGAATGAAAAATTAACAAATCGAAAAATTGAAAAACAGAACATCTACAACCACGAAGTCGAAAAATCGAAAGATTAAGAAATATTTAAAAATTAAAATATCAAAAGACTGAAAAATCTAAAATTTAAAAATCGAAAAATTGAAAAATGGGAAAAGTAAAAAGGTACACACATCGAAAAATCCAGAATTCAAAAATAGAAGAGAAGAATTGAAATATTGAAAAATCCTAAAACTGAAATATTTAAAAACTGGAAAATCGAAAAATCCAAAAAGTGAAGTCGAAACGAAACCTTAAAAAAAGTAAAAAATGAAAAATCGAAAAATTAAAGAATTGAAGAAACCCTCGAAAGTCAAGAAATGGGAAAATCAAAACATCGATTAATTGTAAAAAAATTTGGAAAAACGACAATTGAAAAACAGAAAATCTAAAACCGGGAAGTGGAAAAATCGATAGATTAAGAAATCAAAACATTTGAAAAATTCGAAAACATGAAAGACGGAAATATCGAAGAACTGAAATGAAAAAAATTGGAAACTAAATCGGGAAATCAAAACATTGAAAAATCGAAAAATTTAAAACGACGAAAAGTCGAAAAATCGAAAGATTAAGCAATCCAAAAAGTAAAAAAATCGACGCATCGAAAACTCCACAAGCCAAAAATTGAAATATTGAAAAATCCCAAAACTGAAATATCGGAAAACTGAAAAATGGAAAACCTGGAAAATCCGAAAACTGAAATATCCAAAAACTGAGAACCTAAAAAGTCGAAAAAGTGAGCAAGCGAGAAATCCAAAAAGTGAACTGGAAAAATCGAAACCTTAAAAAACTAAAAAATGAGAAATAAAAAACTTGAAAAACCTGAAAAATCGAAAAGAATTTAAGAATATCGAAACCTTCGAAAGTCAAGAAATGGGAAAATCAAAACATCGATTAATTGAAAAATTGAAAAATTGACAATTTATAAATCTAAAGTTTGAAAAATTGAAAAATCGAAAATTTGAAAAAACGACAATTGAAAAACAAAATCTAAAACTGGGAAGTCGAAAAATTGAAAGATTAAGAAATCGAAATATTTGAAAAATTGAAATATGGAAATATGAAAAATCGAGAAATCCAAAAATCTAAAATTTTAAATATTGAAAAATTAAAATATCAAAAAACTGAAAAATCTAAAACCGGGAAGTTGAAAAATCGAAACATTTGAAAAATTGAAATATGGAAGGGCTAAAATGAAAAATGGAGAAATCGAAAAATCTAAAATTTTAAATATTTAAAACTTAAAATATCAAAAAAATTGAGAAATCTAAAATTTAAAAATCGAAAAAGTAAATCACATCGAAAAATCCAGAAGTCAAAAATGGAAAAGTCGAAGAACATAAGTATTGAAAAATCCCAAAACTGAAATATCGAAAAACTGAAAACTCCAAAACTGAAATATCCAAAAACTGAGAACCTAAAGAATCGAAAAATTGAGAAATCGAAAAATCAAAAAAGTGAAGTCGAAATATCGAAACCTTAAAACAATCGAAAAATTGAAAAATCAAAAACCTGCAAAATCGTAAGATCGAAAAATTGAATAATAAGTACAAACTGAAAAATACCAAAACTGAAATGTCCAAAAACAAAAATTAAAAAACTGAAAAATTGAGAAATCGAAAAATCAAAAAAGTGAAGTTGAAAAATCGAAAGCTGAAAAAATAGAAGAATTTAAAAACCAAAAAACCTGAAAAATTAATCAATTGAAAAATCGAATTATTTAAAAGTCGTAAAATTGAAGAGAAAAACTGAAAACCGAGAAATTGAAAAATTGTAAAATCCAAAAATTGAAAAGGAGTAAACTGAAAAGTCCCCAAACTAAAATTTCGAAAAACTGAGACTTCGAAAATTGAAACAGCAAGAAATTATGGTCGAAATCGGTTAGGATCACGGATCATGGCTTATAAATAAAATCGTTTCCGAACGCTTAGAGTCGACATTGGCCTGAGTGAGCTCTGGTCTGTAGATCAAACAAGTTTTCAGACGACGAACTGTAATTCGTGTGACCTGAATTAAAGTGAAGGAAACAGTAAGCAGCTTGTAATTATTATTTTTTTTTTTTTTGTAAATCTAGTGTCAATTTGTCGAAAGTAAAACGCGTCGTTAAAAATATGACATTTTTTCTATTGTAGTTTATTTTATTCCTAGTTAGAAACAAACACTGTTGCCAACATAAGTCAAGGAGTCCTCAACCGTCATTTAATTTAAACTATGACGCTTCTCTATCTTCTCTAGTAACACCAGCCATTTCCACTTTACAGAATTCGTCTGTTCTGCATGCTCATGCGATGCGTACTATCACAAAAGTCTAAAACAAATAAAAAAAATCGAGTTTAATTTTAATAATGAAAAAAAAGAAAAGACTTACCTTGATTCAAAGATAATTTTAATGTGCAGCGTCTTCGATGAATTTAAAATTTTTTTTTATTAATTCTTTTGACTTCTTTGGCCGATAATCTTGATGTTTCCGCTTCAAGAATCCTACCAGGTTTGAAAAATTCGAGATGTCGACATTATCTTTGTGGTTCAATGTTGTTTTCAACCAGTGATTGGAACAATTACTTTTAAAAAGTAATGCATTACAATTTACTCATTATTCAGTAACAATATTAATTCATTATAATTACAAATCCCCTTTTTTAAAGGAATTATTATTGATATTGTAATAAGAACGACTTCTTTTGGTAGTAATTTTTACACATAGTTCAGATTTTAGGCAACCAACAGTCGGCTCTGATTGGTCAAAACTGCTTTAAAGAAGGTCAAGCTAAGAACACGTACCGCAGCGGATGCTTTCTCTTGTACAACACAGGAACCAATGTAAGATTCACCATGCGACTTAAATAATTTTCTCATCGTTGTATGTTTTACCAGAGGGTGCAATCTAGTCACGGTTTAGTAACTACAGTGGCCTACAAATTCGGCAATTCGCCTCCAGTATATGCATTGGAAGGTACGACCTACCAACGTAAAATTTAATTAGACAAACGTTTTACCAAATTGTACGTAGGTAGCGTTGCCGTCGCCGGTTCTGCCTTATCCTGGCTCCGAGACAACATGGGTTTCCTCAAAGACGTCCACCAGGACACCGAGTCCCTAGCCAAAGAAGTCTTCAACACTGGAGACGTTTACTTCGTACCTGCTTTCACCGGCTTGTACGCCCCCTACTGGCGTAAAGATGCTAGAGGGTGTGTAAGTTTCTTTATTTTCGCAAATCCAACAAAACTATTTTCGTGTTTACAGGATCATTTGTGGTCTCACTGCATTCTCGACCAAACAGCACATTATTAGAGCCGCCCTTGAAGCCATATGTTTTCAAACTAGAGATATTTTAGAAGCTATGAACAAAGATTGCGGTATACCGCTAACCAAGCTGAATGTTGATGGTAGACTTACTAGAAACGACTTGTTGATGCAGCTGCAGGCTGACATCAGTGGCATTCCGGTTATTAGGGCGCAGAGCCAGGATATAACAGCGTTGGGGGTGGCGATGGCGGCGGGACGAGCTAGCGGGATTGGGGTGTGGGATTTGGAGTCGGAGGAGAGGGATGTGGTTCCGAGCGACACGTTTCTGCCCACGACGACTGAAGACGGTAAGTTTTTGAGTGTGCTTGTAGAATTAATTAATTGTGTTTATATTTTAAGAACGGGATTCAAGATACACGAAGTGGAAAATGGCCGTCCAGAGGTCGCTCGGGTGGGCGGTACCTAAGAAGACGCTGAGTATGACAGGTATTTTCTTTAGTCAATTGTGATTGGTAATAAAAAAACCAATTATTTTTTGTTGTAGAGGAAAAATACAGACTATTGGCCAGCATTCCTGGAAGTTTGTACCTCATTGGCAGCTTCGGGCTTCTAGCTTTGTCGGAATACCTAGCTGCCAGTGGTGCTAAAGCTTAACGATCGATACTCATGACAAAGTCTGTAGATTTTTGCCGACCTGATAATTTTGATATTTACATCGTTTTACAAATAGCGGTAATGGACAATGTACTTTTTTGTTGATATTGTATGATTTGTTACGTACTTAATGAAGTTTAACTTCTTTGGGGTTACAATAAAGTGGACGCTTTTTACTTGTGGATGGGTGTTTTATTGCAAAGAGTGTTCGTAATTGAGTGTTATTTATTTTAATTGTAATTACATAGCGAAATATTTACATGAATAAAAACATATAATAAATTCATTTCAATCATTTATATACAGACTTTGGTTTGACGCTTTCCTGAGGAAACAATATTTACAAGTTTTATAATTACAGTAAAAAAATGTTTAGGAATTAATCAGTAACTAGTACCGTAAAATTCCGCGGAGGTAAAATATACGGCTGTAAATTGTACTATTCAGTATTAAACAAAGATCAGACTTATATCTTTGCGCGTTCGTACGTTAGTAAAGGAAAGTCGAAGCGTATGTTTTCATAAAAGGATTAATACATAGATATGTTAAAATACTCCTTAAAGCATAGCAAAATATTGCGTATAAGTATTGGCTAGTCCAACGGTTTTGACATTTATAATTCATAGTAATACATTCATCATCCTTAACAAAAATATTTCATTTTCGCTAAAAAGACTCTATAAAAAATAACAATTCGATTCGAGTCTTTCTTTCTTTTTTCGCAAACCACCAACTGAAATTTAACGGGTACTGTGAATCTATAGCTGGAACACAGTAACATTGACGACGAGAAAATTGATTTGCGTAACATCGATTTAGAATAAGGATTGGACATTTACATCACAAACGCTATCGGCAAACTCGACTGAATTGGGAACTGAAGCAGCCGCAGTCCGAAGAATCGGGCAAAAATTGCCTAGTTTGGGGAAAAACGGCGCAATGAAGTTTACAAAATCGGGCCACTTGCTTGAAAAGCTGCCAACAGTGATCCTTGGATATTTTTATTAAACTTCGACAATTTGTCATCTTTCCATTGCATCATTTTTTCATTTCCATTGCACTATAGTTTTAGAAAACAAAAAGCGCGGTATCAGAAATGACTGAGTCTGTTGGCAAAACTTTTTCAACATAAATGTAAATTTTTCTTGCGTTTATGTTGGCACAACGGAAGTCATTGTGTGACAGATATGTCAATCGTGACCTGCCATAAATTTATCTGTCAATCTTGACAGCTGACAACCGGAAATTAGAGCAAACATCATGATACCAATTTCCACCAAAAATACAGGATTGCCACAGTCTCAGTCATTTCTGATCATGCGGTATAACAATAAGGTGTCATTTCTAAATTAGAAGTCATCACGATTAAAATGAAAATTCGTCACATTTTTTTGGGAAATTATTTTGAAAAAGATCTGGTTATCTTTTTCACGTGTTTAAAATTTTATACCTAAAGAGAGCAAGATTTTATTACTTTAAACATACGAATGTCAAATAGATACACTTAATAATATGGAGAAAAACATAGAGAGGGAAAAATAACTTATGAATAAGCTGCGCCATACGTTTTCAAAATTATGGTATCTTATAACGTGGGTGAGTATGATTTATTACATATGTGAATAAACAGGTCATTGAAGATAGACAGGTGTCAATTTTGACATCATCGCGCCTAAAAATGAATGAGAAAATGGCAGCTACCGAATTGATGGAATTTTAAGTATGTCGCCAACCTGACAAAAAAAAATCACATAAAAAACTAGAGCACTGGAAATTTTAGCATTGTAAATTTTTCTTCAAAAATAAAATTTAAAAACAAAATACTTCAATTTCTTTAATGTCAAATATTATTATTTCATTAAGAACCTTGCAATGCTTTCCTCGATGTCGCCCACATGTCATAAAATGATTATTTTTTGACACAAGAACCCAACTTGCATGCTTAAAATTTTCAACTTTCAAACTATCTATTTACCAATTATCATCCAGTTTTTTTTGTCCACCCATGGGACGTGACGAAAACGTTTTTTGCTAAAATTCCAAGCCTCCATCTTTAAAAATGGCGTAGCTGTGTTTTTTTTTTTTTTGTAAATATGACCACTTATTCCATAAAAACGTAAATGTCTTGAAAACTATTGATCAAGAAACCCCTTTTTTATAAAGAATTTATAGATGTAAATCTATAAAAATAAACATGTTCAGTTAAAAAAAAAAATATGTAACCTTCAAATGGAACATCTAAACCTGGCACAGGTTACGTTCAGATATTTCCTTGGTGAAATGTGGCTGTTGGAAGAAAAAAATCGTCGATCTTGTCAGGTTGGCAACATATTTAAAATTTTATGATGGCATACCTCATTGTCAAAATGAAATTTAGAGCACAAGTTATCTTATCACGTTTGTAATCCGTTCTTGTCAAAGTTGACAACTGGGAACTGAGATGTTAACATTGCTGACAACAATTCAGAATTACCAATACAAAAATTTGTTTCGGTTATTAATAGTCACTCGATATTTGTGAGGTTATCACAGTTATAGTTACATTTTTAAAAGTCAGCGAAATACACAATTTAGTTGTGTTATAAAGTTTATGAATCGTCAAAGTGTCATCATGTTAAAAAATTACCTACTAGGGATTTAAAAAATGTATACTGGCAGCAATGTAATGGTTAATTTGACTTCTGAGTTGTAAACAGTTCTTGTAGAAATTTAAAAAATGTCAAATGAATTTAAATGACGCATCCAATAAAAATAGCCTCAAGTGATTTTATCAGAATGACTAGATTTAATGTATAGTACGACAAAAAATATCTGAAAGCTAGTGCAGTCAAAAAAACCGTAAAAAATTTGACACTGACAGTTAATAACCTCAAAAATCACGCGATTTGTGTTTTCTATCAGTGATTTTTATTTTTAATTTTATCTACACCTTACTTCTGCCACCGAAACACCGCGGTTCAACATGGAAGGTGTTTGACATACATAGAGCTTCTTGTCACGGGTTGTCAATTTGAAGTTTAAAAATGAAAAAAAAAAACTGTCAATAAAAATGAAATGAAACACGGAAATGAAAGACACGTTGAATTAATTTACAGTAGAATAAATCACTAAAACTGATACCGGGTGACTATCGTCTGCCATTTCTACTGAAACAACTTATTAATCGTAAATTTGGCAACGTTCATATTCAGACAATTTTCTAACTAAAGGCTATAGTCAATCAACCGAAAATTTATAACATGAATAGAAATGACAAAGACAATATTAATGATCGAAGCAAATTTTTAATTATGTTGCCAACCTGACAAAAAAAAACAAACATTAATAGTCATGGTACTATCAGTGGAAATAAAAAAAATGGCGTTGGAAATTTTAGCATTGTAAATTGTTCTTTAAGAAAAAGTCAGTCCAAATGAAAATATGTCAGTTTGTTTAATGTCAAATATTATTATTTAATTACGAACCTAACAAATACAATGCTTTCCGCGGTGTCAACCACATGTCATAAAGTGATATTTTCTTGAAAGAATCCAACTGACATATCTCAAATGTCGAATTTTCAAGATTGTCAAGTTACCAATTATGACCCAGTTTTTTCCCTTTTTTATAAGAAATCTATATAAATCTATAAAAATATACCAATAAATTTGGACCGATCTTGTGTCTTTGTCAACGTACTGCGTAAATGTCTTTGGTAACACTGGGTGACTATTAATGATCGTGAATTTTCTGTCAGGTTGGCAACATATTTAAAATTTTATTATGGCATATCTGATAGTTAAAGTGAAATTTAGGACAAAAGTCATCATCTTATCGCGTTGCTGCCAACAATTCAGAATCACCAACACAAAAATTTGCTTCAGTCATTGTAGTCACGCAGTATTTGTGAGGTTATTACAGTTATGGTTACATTTTTAAACGTCAGTGAAATACATAGTTAGAAAATTTGTGAATCGTCAAAATGTTACAATGTTGGCCTCACTGTTGAAAAATTACTTACTAAGAATTTAAAAAATCTATATTGGCAGCAATGTAATGATTAATTTGACTTCTGAGTTGTAAACATAGTTCTTGTAGAGATTTAAAAAATGCCAACTGAATTTAAATGACGCATCCAACAAAAATCACTAGATTTAAAGTATAGTACGACAAAAAATATCTGAAAGCTAGTACAGTCAAGAAAACTAAAAAATTTGACACTGACAATTCATAACCTCAAAAATCTCGCGATTTGTGTTTTCTATCAGTGATTTTTATTTTTAATATTATTATAATGTTTGTACACCTTACTTCTGCCACCGAACCACCGTGATTCAACATGGAATGTGTTTGACATACATATGGCAAACGTAACTTTTAATTTATTCCATTATTGCAATCAGTTAAAAAATATTATAGGATTTGATAATTATTCTAAGGTTGGCACTAAAAAATTAGAGAGCTTCTTGTCACGGGTTGTCAATTTGAAGTTTAAAAATGAAAAAAAAAAAAAACTGTCAATGAAAAGAAATGACACGTTAAATTAATTTACAGTAGAATAAATCACTAAAACTGATACCAGGTGATTATAGTTTGCCATTTCTACTGAAACACAACTCATTAATCGTAAATTTGGCAACGTTCATATTCAGACAATTTTCTAACTAAAAGCCATAGTCAATCAACCGAAAACTTTTATTACATGAATAGAAATGACAAAGACAATATTAATGATTGAAGCAAATTTTTAGGTTGCCAATTATGGTAGCTATTGAATTTGTGGAATTTTAATTATGTTGCCAACCTGACAAAAAACATGAACATTAATAGTCTTGGTATCATCAGTGGAAATAAAAAAAAAAAAAAATGGCGCTGGAAATTTTAGCATTGTAAATTATTCTTTAGAAAGTCAGTCCAAATGAAAATATGTCAGTTTGTTTAATGTCAAATATTGTTATTTAATTACGAACCGTACAAATACAATGCTTTCTTCAGTGTCAACCACATGTCATAAAGTGATATTTTTTTGACAAGAATCCAACTTACAGGTCTTAAATTTCTAATTCAATTATGACCCAGTTTTTTCCCTTTTTTACAAGGAATCTATATAAATCCATAAAAATATACCAATAAACTTGGACCGGTCTTTGTTCAACGTACTGCGTAAATGCCTTTGGTAATACTGGGTGACTATTAATGATTGTGATTTTTTTGTGAGGTTGGCAACATGTTTAAAATTTTATGATGGCACACTTGATTGTCAAAATGAAAAAATTTTGAAAATCGAAAAATTGAAAGGTCAATAAATCCCGAAATGGAAAAATTGATATTTCGACAAATCGAAAACTTTAAAAATCCAAAAATTGAAAAACGGAATAATCGAGAAATCCAAAAGTCGAAACGTCAAAAAATCGAGCAATAGAGAAGTCGAAAAACGGATTAATCGAGAAATCGAAAGAAACGTCAAAAGATCGCGAAATCGAAAAATTATGAATTGAAAAATTGGAAAATTTAAAAAGTAAATCGATAAATGGAAAATTAAAAAATCCAAAAATCGGGAAATTGGACAACGGAAAAGTCAAAACATCGAAATCTCGATAATCCAGAAATTGATAAATTGAAAAACTGTAAAATCGAGAAATCGGAAAATTGAAGTGTTAAAGATTCAAAAATAAAAACCTATCAAATAATTGAAAATCCCAAAAATTAAATCTCGAAAAATTGGAAAATCTAAAAATTGAGAAGTCGAAATATCGAAAAATTTGAAGATTGATAATTCTAAAAATCTAAAAATTGATAAATCAATAAATCGAAAATTTTAACAATCGAAAAATTGAAAATTCAAAAAACGAAGAATTGGAAAATGGAATAATCAGGACATCTAAAAGTCGAAAAGCCAAAAAATCAAGAAATAGAGAAGTGGAAAAGTGGATTAATTGAGAAATCGAAAATTTAGAAACGCCAAAAATTTAAAAATCCGAAAATTGAAAAATTGAAAAATTAGAAAATTAAAAATTAAAGAAAGTAATATAAATCGAAAAATGAAAAATTGGACAACGAAAAAATCGAAAAATTGAAAATTAGAATACTTGAAGAACATTTGCGTTTGTAATACGCTTCTGTCAAAGCTGACAACTGTGAACTGACATGTTAACATTGATGCCAACAATTCAGAATTACCAACACGAAAAATTGCTTCAGTCACTATAGTCACCCAGTATTTGTGAGGTTATTCCAGTTATGGTTACATCTTTAAACATCAGTGAAATACATAGTTAGAAAATTTGTGAATCGTCAAAGTGTCTCAATGTTGGCCTCACTGTTGAAAATTACTTACTAAGGATTTAAAAAATCTATGTTGGCAGCAATGTAATGATTAATTTGACTTCTGAGTTGTAAACATAGTTCTTGTAGTGATTTAAAAAATACCAACTGAATTTTATCAAAATCACTAGATCTAATGTACCGTTGCGGCCTTCCAAAAGTACACGATAATTTTCTCTATTGTAAATGTATGTTCAAATCATGGGCGCTCGAATAACAACGTTTGTCAAATTTGACATTTTGTTTATTCAAAATGCTACGCCACTGGTGATAGCCACACTTTCAAAAATTTAAAAATTCAAAAAATTCCATGACAACGAAAAATCTTGCACTTTTGGGGGGGGGGGGGGCGGCGGCGCAACTGTACACTACCACAAAAAATATCTGAACGCTAGTACACTCCAGAAAGTTGTAAAAAATTTGAAACTCACAATTTATAACCTCAAAAACCATGAATGAAGTTTCCACACCTCACCTCACCACCGAACCACCGTGTTTCAACATGGACGGTGTTGACATATCTATGCCAAATGTAACCTATAATTTAGCCACTGTTGCATTCAGTTAAAAAAAAAGATTATATGGTTTAATAATTATTCTAAGATTGGCACTACAAACTTTGAGAGCTTCTTGTCACGGGTTGTCAATTTGAAGTTTAAAAATGGAAAGAAACTGTCAATGAAAATGAAATCAAAGACGGAAATGAAATGACACGTTAAATTATTTTCCACTAAAACTGATATCGGGTGACTACTTTTTGCCACTTCTAATGACACACAACTTGTCAATCGTAAATTTGGCAACGTTGGCAACTCTGAAAAACGGTTTGTTTTGACTGTTTTAATTATTTTTTTCAGATGTTTCGTGTAACTGAAAACTGATGTCAGTTTTTGTTAGAAAGAGCAGAAATTTTGGAATTCTAGAACAGAATACCATTTAATCCAATAAATTAATTTTCCATAAATTTCTTGAATAAATAATATTACCAATACCATGCCGACAACTGCAGCAGAAAATATAAATGTAAAACCGTACTACAACACATACCAGTCTTTTATAAGCAAGCAATCGCCCCGCCCACCCACCCTCTCTTAAGATTGTTCAGTCATTTACCAAGATCAGCCTTCTCTTAAGAAATACTAGCCCCGCCCACCCGCTCTCTATTTTCTTAGAGGGTATGTAATTTTCACGTCAGTCTTATCTCAGCAGGTACTAGTCCCGCCTACCCACCCTGTTGTCATTCTAACGATCCTTTTTCTGTATATGATCCACCTTTCATTCAGACTAGATAAAGTAAATCACTGAAATAGAGGCGGGGTGGGTGGGCGGGGTTAAATATGTTCTTTTGTAGAGTGAGAATGGGGACTAATAAAATATAGCCTGTTAAAAAATCGCTCATCGTATTTTTTTGTTATACTATTTGCTATAAGATTTATTTCCTATTTCAGAAGACAAAAATGGGAGAACGGGTGGGTGGGTGGGGCTAAGTTTAACTTTTCCTATAGTCTTTTATAAGTAAGCAATAGCCCGGCCCACCCACCCCCTCTTCATTCCAGTGATTACTCTCATTATTGTTCAGTCATTTACCAAAAACAGCCTTATTTTAACAATTTTATTTTAAAAACTGACACTTTTTCCATGACATTAGAAGCCGTATATTAAAAGGTTTGAGAGTTTTAAGGAAATCTTGACTCCATTAAATAACTAATAATTGCTAATGTTTATAAAAAAAGAACACATTGAATAAAAAACGGTTTTTAACATCTATAGCTGTCATTTTGAGAGAGCTTTAACATCTGACTATTTAGAACATCGTATTGGTACTTAACCTTAACGCAAAGTGTTTGACAGCAACTGTTAAAATCGGCACTACAACGTTTGACAGCTCCTTGTCACGGACTGTCAATTTGAAGTTTTAAAATGAAAAGAAACTGTCACTGAAAATGAAATGACACCTTAAATTATTTTGCATTGAATAAATCACTAAAACTGACACTAGCAGTGTTGCCAGTTGTATTTTTGCAGCTCAGATATTAATTTTATAGATTCGTATTAATTATTCTGTTATGAGTGTCCAATTACTGTCACAATCGTGCTTCTATGTTATGTTATAACCTTGAATCATATAATAAATAAATAAATTTATCAATGATCTAAAGTTATAATCACCAACATGTGACAGATCCGCCATTTTGAATCCCCAAAATGGCGCGTAAAATTTCAAGGACCACCCCGATAGCTTCTCAGCTCAGTGGAAACTTCATGAAACCGCCTTCCCCTTTAAAAAACCCCGATTCCATCGAACTACCGCTCCCTAAAATTTGCCAATAACCTGTAACATCGAACTACTCCGACCATTAGTTCTGCTATCCCAACTTCGTCCCGAACTCGTGCAAAATATCACACGCCATATCGACATTATTCCTCGTAATCCCCAATGCCTTGATGACCGCATCCCTCGAGTACCCCTCACTCACGAGTTTTTTAATATAGTCCATGTTCAAGTTCTCGTAGGAGACCGTCGCGTCCCTCTCCAGCGGGTTGATGCGCTCCTTGTGCTTGGGCGGCAGCTTCAGGTTCACGTTCTCGTAGACGTGGTTCCCCTGCTCCTGGTGGATGTTCGGGGACGTGTTCGACTTGACCGGCTGGTTGCCCACCGGCTTGTTCCTCGACGAAGGACAACTCAAATGTCTAGTCTGACTCTTACCGCTATCTATAATATTATCACAATTTGATATAACTACACCGTATATGGTCTCGGGGGAGCTTAATTCTACGACGTTTTCGTTTTCGGAACTCGGGTGTCGGTGGATCTCCATCATGGAGTTGCTCTTGGCGATCTGGGGCACCTCGATGGTGTTCTGGGAGAGGTTGGTCACCGACTGGGCCTCGTTCATCTGGCTGGGGGCGAACTTGTGCCCGTTGGCGACGTGCAGGCCGTTGCGGAGGGGCACGCTGGAGGTGGTGGGCAGCACGGTCTGCTCGTGCGTCGGCGAGTTCTTGCGCGGGGGCAGCGGCGGCGGGATGGCGCCGATGGTGCCGGGGGTCACGCTGCGCCGCACGAAGCGGGGGCTGCTGCCGGGGGAGATCATGGGGCTGGCGGAGGCCTGCACAGAAACGGGGAGTGTATCGAGGATTGGGGGGTGGTGTGTAGTGAATATTTATGGGGCGAATGTGTAAAGAGCTTCGGATGGAAATCAAAGGCGGGTTTAAAACTTTGATAAAAACTCTCTGGTGGTCTAAATATTTTTTGTTGTCATGTTGCATTTTTATTTAACGAGCGTAAGCTAAGGTAGTATGGTAAACAAGATCTCTCGTTTCCGTCTGTCTGTCTGCCATCTGTCCGCGTCCGTGTAAATGGTAAAACGCTAACCAAAAATATGACGTCATCTCCAACTTTTAAAATAAAAAAAGTAAATGTTATTTAAATTTTATAAGATAGCATGCTGCTCCACTTGTAGTTTATGAATCCGTGTTGAGTTTTTACCCTAGGCATCCACATTTTTGCAAAAAAAAAAGATTATTTCGGTAGAACTTCCCTCGCCCCTGAAATATAGTCCAAGAAATCCCGTAATCAGTGGCGTAGGTTCTACTTCCGCAGCTTGCACAAATTCCAAGGGAAATAAAAATTGAGAAACCAAAAAATATTAAAAATCGAAAAATCAAAAATTTTAAAAATCGAAAAATTGAAATAACCAGGTATTAAAAAGTTCCCAAAATTGAAATGCTGAAAAATTGAAAAATCGAAAACTTGAAAAGTCAGACATCTAAAAATCGAAAATCTGACAAATCGAGAAATTAAAAAATTCCAAAATAAAATGAAAAAACTGAGAAATCGAAACAGGCCAAAATCGAAAAATCGGAAAATTGAAAAATCAAAACCCGAGCAATCGAAATATCAAAAAAAAACTGAAAAATCGAGAAATCTAAAACTCTAATATTTTAAAAATGAAAAAAATTAAAATATCGAAAAATTGAAAAATTGAGAAATCGAAACGTCCATAAAATTGACAAATCTAAAATTTACAAATCGAAAAATTACAATACAGAGGAATTTAAACGTTCTCAAAATTGAAACGATAAACTGAGAAATCGAAAAATCAAAAATTTTAAAAATCGAAAAATTGAAATAACCAGAAATTAAAAAGTTCCTAAAATTAAAATGCTCAAAAATTGAGAAATCGAAAACTTGAAAAATTGAGAAGACTAAAATTTAAAAAAAGTTAAAACATCGAAGCGTCAAAAAGTTGAAAAAATTAAAAATCCAGAATTTGGAAATAGAAAAATTGAAAAATCGAAAAGTGGAAAAATCCAAAAATCGAGAAATCGAAAATCTGACACATCGAGAAACTGAAAAATTCCAAAATAAAATAACGAAAAAATTGAGAAATTGAAACAGGCCAAAATTGAAAAATCGGAAAGTTAAAAATTCAAAAACTTAAAATGAAACAAATCGAAAGATCTAAAAATTGAAAAATAAAAAAAAACTGAATAATCGAGAAATCGAAAAATCTAACATTCTAAAAATTACAAATTAAAATATCGAAAAGTTGAAAAATCGAGAAATCGAAACGTCGAAGAATCGAAAAATTGACAAATCTAAAATTTAAAAATCGAAAAATTACAATACTGAGAAATTTAAACGTTCTCAAAATTTAAACCCACATGTCAAATCGAAATATCAAAAAATTGTAAAATCGAAAAACGTAAAATTTAAAAAATCGAAAAATTGAAAAACCGAAATCCGAGCAATCGAAATAAAAATCGAAGAATTAAAATATCGAAAACTTGAAATAACCAGAAATTAAAGTTTCCAAAATTGAAATGGTGAAAAATTGAGAAATCGAAAAGTTAAAATTTAAAAAAAGCTAAAATATCGAAACATCAAGAAATTGAAAAATAAAAAATTCCAAAATTTGAAATTCGAATAATCGAAAAACCGAGAAATCGAAAATCTGACAAATTGAGAAATCGAAATGAGTCAAAATTGAAAAATTGGAAAGTTAAAAATTGAAAAATTTGAAAAATCAAAAACCGGGAAATCGAAATATCAAAAATACTGAAAAATCGAGAAATCGAAAAATCCAATATTTTAAAAATTTAAAAAATTAAAATATCGAAAAACCGAAATCTGAGCAATCGAAATAAAAATCGAAGAATTAAAATATCGAAAAACTGAAATAACTAGAAAATGAATTGAAAAATCAAAAACCAAGAAATCGAAATATCAAAAAACGTCGAAAAATCGAAAAATTACAACATCGAGAAATTGAAAAGTTCCCAAAATTGAAATGATGGTAAACTTAGAAAATCGAAAACTTGAAAACCCCGATGTAAAATCGAAACATCAAAAAATCGTGAAATCGAAAAACGTAAAATTTAAAAAGTCGAAAAATTGAAAAACCCAAAAATTTAAAAATTCGAAAAATAGAAATTTTAAAGAACTGAGATATCGAGAAATTAAGAAAACTGAAACATTTAAATAACGAAAAACTGAAAATCAAAAACCGAGAAATCGAGAAATCATAAATCCAAAATTTTTAAAATCGAAAAATTGGAAGATTGAATCGAAAATTTGAAAATTCCAAAACTGAAATGACTAAAAATCGGGAAATCGAAATATCAAAAAACTGAAAAATCCGGAAATCTAAAAAACTAAAGATTATAATATTAAAATACCGTAAAATTGAAAAAGCTAGAAATCGAAATCTAAAAAAAATCGAAAAATTGAAAAATTAAAATATCGAGAAATTGAAAAGTTTTCAAAATCAAAATGATGAACTGAGAAATCGAAAACTTGAAAAATCGAGAAATCTAAAAATCAAAATTTTAAAAACCAAAAAATCGACATGTCAAATCAAAACATCGTAAAGTCGAAAAACTGAAACATCAAAAAGTTAAATATCGAAAAAACTCCAGAAATCAAAACATAAAAAAATTGAAAAATCAAAAATCTAAAAATTGAAAAATTCCAAAACTAAAATGACGAAAAATCGAAACATCAAAAAAAGCTAGAAAGTAAAATATCGAGATAACGAAAAATCGAAGAATCAAAATTTTGAAAAATCCCAAAAGTGAAACAATAAAAAATTGGGAAATCGAAAAACTGAAAAATCGGGACATCAAAGTCGAAAAATCTAAAATTTAAAACATCAATAGAAATATTGAAAAACTGAAAAATTGAAACACTGAGAAGTCGAGAAATGAAAAACCTAAAATTTAAACATTGAAAATTTAGAAATAAAAAAATTGGTAAAAATTTAAAAATCCAAAAACCGAGAAGTTGAAAATCTAAAATTCAAAAAAATCGAAAAATTGAAAAATCGAAACATCCAAAACATCAAAAATCCAAACATCAAAAAAGCTAAAAAGTAAAATAGTGAGATATCGAAAAATCGACGAATTAAAATTTTGAAAAATTCCAAAACTGAAACATTAAAAAATTGAAAAATCGGGACATCGAAGTCGAAAAATCGAAAATTTAAAACATCAATCGAAATATGTATTGAAAAATTGAAAAACTGAAAAATTGAAATATTGAAAAGTCGAGAAATGAAAAACTAAAATTTAAAAAATTGAAACTTTAGAAATCGAAAAATCAAAGGATTCAAAAATTCCAAAATCTACAATCGCAAAATTGAAAAATCTAAAAATCGAAAAATCTAGCAGTTGAAAATCCAAAATTTAAAAAATCGAAAACTGAAGGATCGAAAATCTTAAAATTGGGAAATTAAAAAATTCCAAAACTGACAGAAGTTGAAAATCCAAATTTTAAAAAATCGAAACCTGAAGGATCGAAAATCTTAAAATTGAGACATTGAAAAATTCCAAAACTGAAATGACGAAAAATTGGAAAATCGAAATAGGCCAAAATCGGAAAGTTCTAAATTGAAAAAGTTAAAATAAAAAACCGATAAATAGAAAAATCTACATAAAAATATCTAAAACCGAGAAGTCCACAAATCGAGACATCAAAAAATCGAAAAATTGAAAAGCGAGAAATCGAAAAACTGAAAAATCCAAAAAATTTAAAAATCAAAAACGGAAACCTTGGAAATTCTAATTAATTCTCGAGAAATAGGAACATTAAAAATCGGTCAATCGAGAACTAAAAAATCCAGAAATTAGAATATCGAAAAATTGAAGAAAAAACTGAAAAATCACAAAACTGAAATATCGAGAAATTTGGAAATCGAAAGTTGAAAAATCGAGAAATCGAAAACCCGAAAAATGGAGAAATTGAAACATTCTTCTACAATTTTGATTTTTTTTTCAAAAATTTCGATGTTTAGGATAAAAATCAACACGGATTCATAAACCACAAATTAAAAAAATGTTATTTTTAACGTTTAAATAATATTTATTCGAGCAAATTGTAAGACGACCTGTACTTTAACAATCCACGCATGTATTAATTTTAGTTCATAGGGGCCCACATAAAAAAAAAAACTGGTAAAAAATGCGTCAAAAAGTCTACGAAAATCTGACCTGAAAAGTAGACAAGTCTGTAAAAATTAAAATAAAATAAAAATAACTACAAGTTAAATGTGATAAAACAATAATAATAAATAAACAGTGTCGAAATAACCTTGGACCAATATTTTATGTAATATTTATTCCATACGGTAATTATAAAGTACAGTAGGTTAGTTGACTTTGGAAAATTGTCGCGAATTTTTATTACCTAAGAATTTTACGACTCGAATAATTGGTTGCCTACTTATTAGACATCAAAAATTGAAAACTATATTAAGACCGTTAGATTATAATTGATAATTATTGTGGTGGCAAAATTCACGAAACCTGATGTACAATATTTTATTATCAATTTATTTGTAAAATGCTGTGAAATGACGGCATAATTTCGTGAAGATACAAATTTTGTTCAGTCTTTTACCATATTCGGGCACACATAAAAATCCACAGTACGGATAGAGAGTTAAATGCTTGTATCTGTTATTATACAGGATGTTTGAAAAAAATTAATCTACTTTAACTATTTTGTTCGTTTGCTGAGTTTCAAGCATGTTTATAAACGTCGAAAATAGTAAATAGGGCAATTTTTAACGTGTACTACAATGAACATCCCAACCCGGTGGAAGTTAGTATGACGTCACGTGTATATCTGGCCTATTTTAGGCTGCTGTAAACTGAAAACTACTAATATTAGAAACCTGTGGTTCCCGTCATCATTTTTCTTCTACTTTTCTAAATAAATTGCGGTTTAAGTTTGATGGAATAATTTAGTATCTAGTTAATTTTTATGTCATGACTTACTGAAATTTCCCCTCTAGGCGATAGAGCCAGAGCATGTAAGCTACTTCCCGTACACGTCCATAAATCTCCAACATCCTACAAAATAAAATAGTCAAAAAAACAGTACGTTCCACGTTTTTCATTAACAACATTTTTGAGATCTGTCCTGATCGTGTCAGGAAATCTCAAACCGTTATTACATATCTCCAAAACGTCAAGCCGCTATTTATAAAACAACGAATGTGCAACATGCAACTGACTTACTGCAAGTGGGATCATGGAAATCGCTGTGGTCAGTGTACACAAAACAGATAGATAAAAAAAAGCGCATACTTACCTTTCAACCCTCAGCGCATAAAGGAAAGCGGTCACAAAATAAAGCAACACCGTTACAAACGGAAAAACAAACAAAACCATCTGCAAAAATAAATACAACTAATACGAAAATATCTCTATTGCAATCCATGTTTTTACAAAATAAAACTTTACCAGTAATGTAACTTAAATTAACACACTTTCCATTAAAACCTTTTTTTTGAAAAAAATTAAAAATAAAACAGAGTCGGCCCTAAATCGTAATACTCTTCGGTACTAAGTACATAAAATCAATATCGTGTATAAGCTGTAAACCTAAAAACTCACCACCTTTTCCCTCTCCTTACCCTTATCGCTTTTATACAAAATTGTATCAAAACACAGTTGAGTTAATGTAAACACGTAGGGGAAAACAAACGAAAAGAAGCTTAAAGTGGCATGCACGAAGTAAGTTCGCCGTCTCGGCGGCGGTGATCTCCAAAACACAGACGAAACAAACCCAGTGTATAAATAAAGCTTAAAACAAGCACATAACGAAAAACAGGTAAATTCAAAGCACAGCCGAAAGTAGAAAAAAGTTCTTTCATTCAACATAGTCATTCGTGTTATGAGCTTCGGTCACTACCTCGAACTCCATGTCGTCTTCGTCGAGGTTCGCGGCGTTCGGGGAGCTCGCCGACGACGTCTTCGGCCGGTTGTGGGACTTCTTCGGGTCGAACGGGTCCACGACGATCTGCTCGGTGCCCTTGATCTCGGCCCGGCAGAACGGACACCCCTGTCCGTCAGAATCCTGAAAAAAAAAATTATCCCCTCTACAAAACCCATGACGTCATTATAACAACAATAATGATAAATTGATAAATGCCACCAATAAAAATCACCGGGACCAGACGAAGCACATAATTTTGGAATAAAAAAATTCGATCATACACACATTCATTGACTAAACCACTTCAACCAACTCCATCTTAATCATTTACATTTCCAAAATTTTTATGTCATGGTATGACATATCTAAGATCTGAAGATGATAACACACCAAATCCTTCAAAATACAGATCTATCACGTGTGTACCTACAATTTATAAAATACTAAAATCATGCATATAACAAAAAAATCTGTCAACAGTGTGGCAAAATGTAAGCCCGCCCACCCGCCCTATCTCCATTGTGATGATTTTTTTTTATTCGCAGTGAACCAAGAGGGAGGAGCTTAACTGCAAAATCCTATTTCCTTACAAGAAATTAACAACATGTTTTTAAGTTATCGTGTTGTTCAAAGGATATACTATGTATGTATACAGAGATTAAGCCCCACCCATACCTGCCCTGATCTAAATAGTAATGAAGTTTTCATTCGTTGGCAGACCTAGGGGCGGAGCCTAACTGCAAAATCCTTATTTTCTTACAAAAATTTACATTTTAAATGTGATTTATGTTTCTAAGAATAAAAAAAATCATCACAATTGAGATAGGGTGCGTGGGTGGGGGTCACATTTTACCTTTTTCTCTTAATATACGCGATCTTGATTTCACAGCAAGAAACTTAAAACATGTTTAAAATGGTAAATTTGTATAAGTAAATATTGATTTTGCAATTAAGCCCCGCCTCTCGGGCTGACAACGAATGAGAAATTCATCACGATTCAGATAAAGACGGATGGGTGGAGCTTCTCTTTTTTTTTAATTAATACATTTAGTTTTCTTTGTATAACACGATTATGTAAATGTTATGTTATGTTAATTTCTCGTAGAAAAATAACGATTTTACAATTAAACCCCGCCCCTCGACTTACAACGAATAAAAAAATCATTAGAATCGAGACAGGGTGGGTGGGTGGGGCTTATATTAGGCCTTTTTTTTATTGTACATAATCACCACAAGAAACTTAAAACATGGTTAGAATGGTACATTTTTGCCAGGAAACATGGATGTTACAATTATGGGGCAAAATCGATATTTCCTTATACAAATTTTCCATTTTAAACATGTTTTAAGTTTCATGTTGTGAAAAGAAGTCTACACATATTAAAATAAAAATGCAAAATATAAACCCGCCCATCCGCCGCATCTCAATTGTGATGATCTTTTTTATTCGCAGTGAACCAGGAAGCGGAACTTAATCTCAAAATACTTATTTCTTTCCAAGAAATTAAAAACGTGTTTTTGAGTACCCTGTTGTTCAAAGAATAACATGTACATTAAGAAAAAAAAAAGGGTAAAATATAAGCCCCGCCCGCCCACACCATCCCTATTGTGACGATTTTTTTTATTCTTAGAAACTTAAAACACATTTAAAATGGTAAACTGTTGTAAGGAAATATGGATTTGGCAATTAGGCTCCGCCCCTAGGTCTGCCAACGAATGAAAACTGCATTACTATTTAGATCAGTGCAGGTATGGGTGGGGTTTAATTTTTAGCCTTAATTTTGCTTATTACACTTAGTATTCTTCGAATAACACGATACTCAAAACTATGTTTTTTATTTCTTGTAGAGAAATAAGGATTTTGCAATTAAGCTCCGCCCCCTTGACTCACGATGAATAAAAAAATCATCACAAATGAGACAGGGTGGGCGGGAGGGCGCACATTTTACCTTTTTTTGGTAATATATGCAGTCTTGCATTCACAACAAAAAACTTAAAACATGTTTAAAATGGTAAATTTGTATAGGGAAATATCGATTTTGCAATTACGCTCCGCCTCTCGGTCTAATAACGAATGAAAAATTCATCACGATTCAGATCGATACGGATGGGTGGGGCTTCTCTTTTAGTTTTCTTTTTTAATCAATTACTTAAGAACATATTTCACATAGTAATTTCTCGTAAAAAAAATAAGGATTTTACAATTAAGCTCCGCCCCTCGGCCTTTTTTTCTTAATATACACTGGTATTTTTTGAACAACACAATACTCAACAAGTTTTTAATTTCTTGTAAAGAAATAACTATTTTTGCAGTTAAGCTCCGCCCTCTTGGTTAATGGTGAATACAAAAAATCATCAGAATTGGGATAGGGCGGGTGGGTGGGGCTTATATTTTCCCTTTGTTTTCTTAATATACAAAGTCATCTTTTAACAACAAGGTTAAAATGGTACATTTTTGCGATGAAATATGGATTTTGCAATTATGCGGCGAAGTTTGATTGCAAAATCGATATTTTATTACACAAATTTTCCATTTTAAACATGTTTTAAGTTTCATTTTGTGAAAAGAAGTCTATACATATTAAAACACAAGGACTAAAAGTAAGCCCGCCCACCCGCCCTATCTCAATTGTGATGACTTTTTGTATTCGCCATTAACCAAGAGGGCGGAGCTTAACTGCAAAATAGTTATTTCTTTACAAGAAATTAAAAACATGTTGTTGAGTATTGTGTTGTTAAAAAAATACCAGTGTATATTAAGAGAAAAAGGCAAAATATAAACCCCGCCCGCCCACCCCATCCCAATTGTGACGATTTTTTATTCTTTTTCCTCATTATACATAGTATTCTTGGAATAACACGATACTCAAAACACATGTCTTAGATGGTAATTCCTTGTAGAGAAATAATAAGTATTTTTGCAATTAAGCTCCGCCCCTTTGGCTCACGACGAATAAAAAATCGTCACAATAGAGGGTGGGTGGGCGGGGCTCCCATTTCATCTTTTTTTTTCTTAATATATGCAGTCTTGCTTTCACAACAAGAAACAAAAGACATGCTTAAAATGGTAAATTTGTATAAGGAAATATCGATTTTGCAATTACGCTCCGCCTCTCGGTCTGATAACGAATGAAAAATTTATCAGGATTCAGATCGATACGGATGGGTGGGGATTCTCTTTTAGTTTTCTTTTTTAATTAATTACTTAAAAACATATTTCACATGGTGATTTTTCGTAAAAAATAAGGATTTTACAATTAAGCTCCGCCCCTCGGCTTACGACGAATAAAAAAAATCATCAGAATTGGGATAGGGCAAGTGGGTGGGGCTTATATTTTGCCTTTTTTTCTTAATATACATAGGCATCTTTTCACCACAAGATTAAAATGGTACATTTTTGCGAGGAAATATGGATTTTGCAATTATACGGCGAAGCCTAATTGCAAAATCGATATTTTCTTACACAAATTTTCTTTTTAAACATGTTTTAATTTTCATGTTATGAAAAGAAGTCTATACATATTAAAACAAAAGGGCTAAATGTAAGCCCGCCCACCCGCCCTATCTCAATTGTGATGATTTTTTTTATTCGTCATTAACCAAGGGGGCGGAGCTTAACTGCAAAATAGTTTTTCTTTACAAGAAATTAAAAATATGTTTTTGAGTACCGTGTTGTCCAAAAAATACTATGTACATTAAGAAAAAAGGCAAAATATAAATTGTTGTAGACAAATATAGATCTTGCAATTAAGCTCCGCCCTTCGATCTGACAACGAATAATGAAAAATTCATAACAACTGAGACTTGAGATCGGGGTGGTATGTATGGGTGGGGCCTAATTTTTGGCTTTCTTTTTTACACACATAGATAGATAGTATCACAATTGAAACAGGGTGGGTGGGCGGGGCTCCACTTTGCATTTTTTTTCTTAATATGTGTACTTATTTAGACAACAAGAAACTTAAAATATGTCTAAAATGGTAATTTTTGTAGTGATCAACTTAAATCCTCCACTTTTCATCTACAACCTCTTTAAATGCGACAAAAGTTGAACATCAAAGTTATTATCAACGGCAACTTGACAACGGAGTTTATAAATGAGATTTTTCAGCTCTAAAAGCAACGTCAACGTCAAGCAATCTGAAAAAGGCGTGCGTTCAACAACAAATACCATATACAAACCAGAATAACGAAATAATCGAAGGTGAATAACGAAACGAAACATACATCGCGGTGTGTCTTATGAAGGATGAACGAGTCTGCAAATATTTGGGGAAATCACTAATGTGGAGCAGAAATAGTAAGGGGCCCAATACTGAGGTACTACACCATGTATGATGAGAAAGCTTGCAGAATTTGCAGAAAAGATTTTGGGAAGGTAGAATTTCTGAAGCATAAGTTAATTAACTTGGTTAATGGCGATATCAGTAAATTTTTTATATATTTAACCATCTATTACATCTCTGACCAGGATATCAGATATTTCAGAAAAAGTAAAATTAGTCAGCTATATTCACTTATCACACTATTATCACAATCCGACATTAGGTAGAACGGGGCATCACAGTCATCACACAAAAATATTTTACTAGGTTACAAGCTAAGTACTAAAATAGACATTAGAATCATCACAGAATATCCCACAGTTGCTATTTTTATTTTTATTTTATGACTAGATAATAATTTGTTGGTGCTATAATTAATAATCCGCTACATGACTTTTGTTTGATTGTTACCTAATTATCTAGAAAATATCTCATGGCTTTTAAATAATTTATCATACAATTTGGATCGATCCATTTTTTAAATTTATAGTTTTTTCAGGAAAAGCAAGAGTCATACCATCACATAAATTTAGTGTTAACATCAATTTCCTGAGTCTAAATAAATCTCCAGTCACTATTTCAAAGTAAGTTAAACAATATGTGTTTCCAATTTTTTTTTTTATTGGCTTATGCGTTCTTATTAAGTCAATATTTGGCGAATTACTTTGTAAAATGGATATTTCAAGTTTTATTTCTGTGTGATAAAATAATGATAAATCTAATGGGTTAGTTTTGCAATATCAATATCAATATTAATATTTATGAAAATGAAAATATTATCTAGACAGTTTAATTATATCAAAAAGATGGGAACATTTGTTGAAAGCCAGAAAAGTTAAGGTTTTATTGTAAAGTGACGGCTAACATGTTTCGGTACCTACTGGTACCATCATCAGAGTTAAATGATAAACAGGAATTAGTCACAAAAAAATAAAGTTAATACAGTTTGGGCCAGAAAATCTTGGGCAGTATTTTTCTGTCATTTAAAAAAAAAAACCGATGTAGCCTATGCTTTATTTTCATGATTGACACTTTTAAAAAATAAATTTTGACATAGGTCATCATTCACATTCCAGTCTACGTCAAAATGACAAGAATGGCAAATTTGAGTTATAAGTACGTAAAGCCTGTTTTAGAGCTTATGTCACTTGAATGATTATACTAATTATGCTTGAGAGCTGCTGTTAATAGCAACCTCAAGGCCCAACTGTGAAATGAAAGGAACCAAACATGAAATACAAAAGTAATTAAAGGCATATACCGAATGTTGCAGAACTAAAAAACTATTATTATTATTTTAATAATAAATCGCGGGTGGCCCTCCATAAATTTTTCACTAAAATTTTACCGTCGTAAGACAGAGGACGATTTTTTATTAAATATTCATCTAAATTCATTATTTTTATTTAAAATCAAACAACCGATTCCAGCTGAATACAACGACTAGACGCACGGTTTCCATGGGAACGGTGTAAACAAACCGTCTAAATGAGGCATGATTTGGTCTCTCCTTTTATCTGCACTTCAGCAACGTATCATATATCCAAGTAAGTTTTAATACAATTACCTTTGTCGGATTTCGACACCACTCGATTCTCATTTTTGTCACTCAATATTTAAACACTGGTATAACTAACAGAAATTCAGCTTTTGCCAGTCACATTTTAGAATTTGGACATTCCTTTCATCCCGTTAATAATGTCAAGGTCTTACATGTTTTGAACAAAAATACCACTCTCAATTTTCTTGAAATTTATAAAGCTGTTAGAGATTTCCTATCTTCCCTCGTTCCTACTTATTTCCTAAGTCTTTCTATGTTACGGTCTTCCTCTGGTCTGGTTCTTCCTCTTGTGCTTTTACACTTGGTTTTTTCTTTTACTAAAGACATTTTTTATTTTTAATAACTATACATTTTTCTACTGGGTATTTGTAGAACAATAGATGACCACTATTACCATTCTATTTCAATAATACACGATAGATGGCGCCGATTACAATTTAAGTTCAAGAACATTCGGTAGATGTTTTCAAGTTACTTTTGTATTTCATGTTTGGTTTTTTCTTTTCATAGTGAGACCTTGAGGTTGCTGTTGACATCAGTTCTTAAGCATAATTTGTGTAATTATTTAATCACTAAATTTTGTACTTTGGGTAACTGCATTAATTTTAAGTTTTTTGGTACGCTAATTTCTGTTCATCATTTAGCTCTGATGATGGTACCAGTAGGTACCGAAACATGTTAGCCCATCTTTTTGATATAATACTAATTATTATGACCACTTTGAGAAAAAGATTTGAACTACTAGATTTGCTGGACAGTTTAATTTTCTCGTGGGAAATTGTGGGAGTTTTATTATACAGAGTTATGATAAAGAAATGCATCAAAATACCAGAGATCTCAATACGACTTTCAATAGCGAATTTCTTACACCATTCCATAGGTGTGACCTTATTCCCTCATACTTACGATCTGCCACGCAGTCAAACACGGTGTACACAGCAAGTGCCCGCACGGCTCTATCCTCACATCCTTGTCATTCTCGGCACAAATCTTACATAGTTGGAATGTGCTGCCCATCTCACAATACAACTCGTACTGCTCCTGTGTAACCGCTATGTGGTCCTCAGGGGTAGGTTGCACGGCCCACGACAGGTCCGGATTGACGGACCTCCCGTCGGGGTATAAGTAGCTGCAGAATACGAACGTCGGCGAAAATTTCAACAACAAAAACAGAAAAATACTCACAAACCCTCCCTGTGTCCGTCGAGGAGGGCTTGAATCAGACTTTTATTCTGAGGTATCGTTTGGAGAATTTCGCCGTCGGCCGTGACGTAACCGATGGCCCATTGGCCCAGTCTCGTGCAAGACAGTCGAAATACGTAACTTCCCGCTTTGTTAATGTAACGCTGCAGTCTTAATTTGACTTCGTCGTAAGTCAGGAATGCAACATAACCTGGATGAGTGACGGCCAGAATCTGCCAGTTTCTCAGGAGAGTGGCCCATGGTTGAAATAGCCTGAAGGCAATTAAGGGTGTTATGAAATTCAGTTAGAACACTGCATACTACACACACGATTTTGCCCCATACTGACCTGGTAAAAACGTCGAACTCAAAATTTGATATGTAATCGTTACAAGTGAGGTCTATGGTGGATTTGAGGGCCATTGCTTCTAAACCAGAACTGATCGGATGGACGTTGTTCAGCTCTTGACGGAAAAGTTTCCACGGCACCAAAGTACTGAAAAAAAAAAATGAAAATGGTCAGTGATTCCAATTTTTTCCAAATTTAATTTTCAGTGTTGTCTGTTAATTTTTCATTTGAATGTTAATTACATTCAGTGATTTTGGTGTGTTCAATGTCACGGCCATGGGTCAGTTACGCGCCACGGTCAGAAAAATTTACATATAGTTTTAACGGTTAATACCTTAAACAGTTGTTGCCTGTCGTAGTTGTTTAGTTAGTCATGTATTTAATCATTATTTTTACTACTCTGTTGACAACTGACGAAAATTGGAGAAATCGGATAATTGAAGGATGTAATGAAAAACAACAAAATCATATTTTTGAAAAAGTTGGGCAGTCAATAAGGAGAAATCTAAATTGGATGCGTTGTTTGTGCTATATATCTTAGAAAGAAACCGTTTTTCCGAAAGTCATCCAAGGACAAAAAATCGTCTAGTAATTTTTAAAGTAATATTTATCCTTCTAAAAACAATTTTCACAGCTTCCGAGACGACTTTAACTTCCAGAGAGTTAGATAAGGAAGTATCGTAATAGGAAAATGGCTACATTCATGTTTTCTGCACGTTTTTAGATTATCGAAACATAGGTCTCACGTTTCCGTCTATCTATTGTACATTGTTATTTATTACACAAGTAAATAATGCATGAAATTAGCGGATCGATTATTGTCAAAATTTGTCTGATTATTTCCACTAACAATTTGGCGACGTCGCGTCAAAAAATTTAAACGGTAAACGGTATTTAAATTTTAAAAATAACAAACTCCTGTACTTGTGGTTTATGAGTCCGCCTTGAGTTTTTATCCTAGCCGTCCAGATTTTCGTAAAGAAATTCAAGACTCACATCAGCTCAGGTGATGGCAGCGGCATGCTAATAAACGGAAGTTGACGGTTCGATTCCCTCATAGGCCACTTTTTTGTTGTTACATTGTGACTGGTATTATCTTTATTTTTTAAAATTATATAGATTGTCCTAATAATACATAAAATTTCGCAACATCAAATTTTATAATTTTTCGAAAAAATGAACAAATGAAAAACTGATAAATCGAAAAACTGAAATCCGAAAAGACAAAAGAAAAAAATTGTAAAAACAGAGACATCGAGATGTCGAGTAATCAAAAATTTGAAAAATTAAAAATCTAAAAATCAAAGCATCGAAATTTCGATAAATCGAAACATCGAAAATCGAGAAATCGAGAATTCGAAAAATCTATAAAAATAAACAAAAATTAAAATATCGACAAATTGAAAACTTAGAAACGCAAAATTTAAAGTCGCAAAAATAATTGAAAAATCGTGAAACTGAAACATCGAAAATAAAAAAAAAATAACATAAAAAATTTAAAATCAATGAATCGAAAAATCCAAAAAATGGGTAAATTGAATAATCGAAAAATCAAATCCAATATCTGAAAAATCGAGAAATCCGAAAATCTAAAATTTAAAATACCGAGAAATTGCAGAACCGAAAAAATGTGTAATCCAAAATATAAAATTTAAAAATTCGAAAAAATGGAAAACAGAAAAAACGAAAAACCTGAAATTAAAAAAAATCGAAAATTGAAAAATCGGGTGAGAAATTGAAAAATTGAAAAGTCGAAAAATCGAAGATTGAAAATATTGAGAAACCTCAAAACTGAAATATCGAAAAATTGATAAAACGATAACATTAAGAAGCAAAAAATTGAGAAGTCGAAAAATCGGCAAATCGAAAACTTAGGAACGTCAAAATTTGAAAAATTCAAAGGTTGCAAAAATGAAGAATCAAAAAATTGAAATATCCTAACACGGAAATATCGAAAAATCGGGAAATCAAAAATAACAAAAATTAAGAAATCGTAAGTTTGAAAAATCAAGATATTGAAGAATTGAAAAATCCCAAAACTGAAAATCTAGTAACTGAAACATCGAAAAATTGAGAAATTGATACATCTAAAAATTGAAGAATCCAAAAACTGAAAAATTCTCAAACTGAAATCAATAAATCGAAAAATCCAAAAATCGGGAAATCGAAATTCTCAAAAATCACGAAATCCAAAAATCTAAAATATCCAAAAATTGCAGCAGCGAAAAATTGAAAAATCGGGAAACTGAAAATCGAAAAGCCGAAAATTAGAAAGCCCAAAAATTTAAATTTCAAACAACTGAAAAACAGAAAAATCGAGAAATATAAAAATCTCTAAATGAAAAAAAATTTTTAAAATTTAAATATTGAAAAACTGGAAAATCGAGTGAGAAATTGAAAAATTGTACTTGTGGTTTATGAATCTGGGTTGAAATTTTACCGTTGACAACTAGATTTTTGCAAAAAAAATAAAATTTTTATAACAAACTTTGAAATTGCAGAATCGAATGCTATGAAATCTTGTAATGTTTTGAAATTATCGTAAACGAGAAAAACCGTTAATGAAAATTTATCAATTCAAAAATCTTCCAAAAATTGATGACGAAAAAATGTTTTTTTTTAATAAACCCCTGCTTTTATGGTTTTGAATTCGTGTTCGGTTTTTATTGTAGACGTTTCAAATTTTTGGAAAAAAAAATCGATAAAAACATTTTACAATTTAACTATGAATTCAGAAAACTGAATTTTTAAGAATTGAAAAACTGAACAATTGAAAAACTGATAAATCTAAAAATTAAACATTTTAAAAATTGAAAAACCGAGATATCGAATAATAAAAAACTTGAAAAATTAAAAAATTGGAAGATTGAAAACTGTAAAATTTGGGAAATTAAAAATTTAAAAATCGAAACATCGAAATCTCGACAAATCGAAACATCAAAAAATTGAAATATCCCAAATTAAAAAATTGGAAAATTGAAAATGGAAAAATCGAGAAACTGAAACATTCAAAATTTGAAAAATTGTAAAACTGAAATACCGGAAAATCCGGAAATCGAAAAATAAAAAATTGAGAAATCGAAAATCTGAAAAATCAAGAAATTGAATTTTAAAAACTCCCAAAGCTGAAATATCGAAAAATTGATAAATCTAAAATTTGAAGAATCCAAAAACTGAAATATCAAGAATAAAAAAATTGAAAAATCAAAAAATCGAAAAATGAATGACTGGAAAATCTAAAACCGAGAAGCCGAAAAATGTAAAGATGGACAAATCGAAACATCAACAAATTGAAATACCCCAAATTAAAAAATTCAAAAAATTGAAAAATCGTAAAATACAATCATCCAAAAAACGAAAAATTGAAATATTTAAAATCGAAAAAACTAAAATTTAAAAAATTGAAAAATCGAAAAGCCGAAAATTAGAAAGCCCAAAAATTTAAATTTCAAACAACTGAAAAACAGAAAAATCGAGAAATATAAAAATCTCTAAATGAAAAAAAAATATTAAAATTTAAATATTGAAAAACTGGAAAATCGAGTGAGAAATTGAAAAATTGAAAAGTCAAAGAATGGAAATACTGAAAAATCCCAAAACTGAAAAGAAACAAATTAAAAACCGCAAAAATGAAGAGCCAATAAATTGAAAATTCGTAAAACTGAAACATCGGAAAATCGAAAAATAAGAAATTGAAGAATTGAAAAATCCCAAAACTGAAATATCGAAAAATTGAAGAATCCAAAAACTGAAAAATTCCAAAACTGAAATACTGAAAATAAAAATAAATACAAAATCGAAAAATTCAAAAACCAGGAAATTGAACAATCGAAAAATCCAGGAACTGAAAAATCGAGAAAACAAAAATATAAATTTAAAATATCGAGAACCTTCAGAATCAAAAAACTGTGGAAAAAGTAGAAATTTAATTGTAATTCGAAAAAATGGAAAATAGAAAAAATGAAAAATCTGAAACTAAAAAAAATATCGAAAAATTGAAAAATCCAGAAAGGGCAAAATTGAAAAATCGAAAAGTCGAAAAATCGGCAAATCGAAAACTTAGAAACCTCAAAATTTGAAAAATTTGAAGGTTGTAAAAATGAAGAACCGAAAAATTGAAAAATCCTAACATCGAAATATCGAAAAATTGGGAAATCGAAAAATAACAAAAATTGAGAAATCGAAAATTTAAAAAATCAAGAAATTGAAGAATTGAAAAATCCCAAAACTGCAAATCTAGTAACTGAAACATCGAAAAATTGGTTAATCTAAAAATTGAAGAATCCAAAAAACTGAAATACCGAAAATAAAAAATCGAAAATTTAAAACCAATAAATCGAAAAATCCAAAAATCGGGAAAATGAACAATCGAAAAATCCAGAAATTGAAAAATAAATAAAAATCGAAAATCTAAAATCAAAGAATCGAAAAATTCAAAAACCGGGAAATTGAAGAATCGAAAAATCCAGTTACTGAAAAATCGAGAAATCGAAAATATAAATTTAAAATATCGAGAAACTGCAGAACCAAAAAACTGTAGAAAAAGTAGAAAATTTAATTGTAATTCGAAAAAATGGAAAATAGAAAAAATGAAAAATCTGAAACTAAAAAAAAAAATCGAAAAATCCAGAAAGGGGGAAATTGAAAAATCGAAATTCGGCAAATCGAAAACTTAGAAACCTCAAAATTTGAAAAATTTGAAGGTTGTAAAAATGAAGAACCAAAAAATTGAAAAATCCTAACATTGAAATATCGAAAAATCGGGAAATCGAAAAATAACAAAAATTGAGAAATCGAAAATTTGAAAAATCAAGAAATTGAAGAATCGAAAAATCTCAAAACTGCAATCTAGTAACTGAAACATCGAAAAATTGAGAAATTGATTAATCTAAAAATTGAAGAATCCAAAAACTGAAAAATTCCCAAACTGAAATAACGTAAATAAAAAAATAAAAAATCGAAAAATCCAAAGATCCCGAAAATGAACAATCGAAAAATCCAGAAATTGAAAAATGTCAAAAATCGAGAAATCCAAAAATGTAAAATTTAAAATATCGAAAAACTGCAGCAGCGAAAAATTAAAAAACAGAAAAATCGAGTGAGATTGAAAAATTGTAAAGTCAAAGAATGGAAATACTGAAAAATCC